TTAAAATAGATATCGATTCCGAGTCAATTATGCGATGGGGTAATCCAGTTGTTGATAACTCGGCAGTCACTGTATGGGATAGTCCAGTTGATGACAACACGACAATCACCGTAAGTGTAGCGACAGAGTATGTCGATTTTTTTCAAAGTGTAAACGCGAAAGCGCACGTAGAAGAAGTTATTGTGAATTCTGGTGTTCTGTTAACCGCTATGGAAGAAATGCGAAAGGATGAAGTCACGAGTGTAATGCTCGAAGATCCATAGTAACATTGAAACATTGTACATGTAACTTGATCAGAATCTTGGTGAGGCAAAGTTTCATCAAGATGAAAGCAAATTATTGTTTGAAAACCTTTAAAAAATTCATGTAAATACATCTTATAAAAAAATCTTATCATCGACTAGATCTTTATATAATAAAAAGTTTATTCGTTGTGCTTGCATGTGATCTTTGACATAGTCGATATTTGAAATTTTGAGAATGTATAGTATTAGTCAAATTTTTTTTGCGATCCAAGCTAGTTGATTTTATTGGTTTATACTTAATAGAGAGAAATTATTTGTAAGATTAGTAACTACTAAATAAGGTGCAATAAAAATCATTTATGATCTAGAGAACAGTCTATGTGACTAGTGTCCTTGAAAAATCACAAGACGCGAAAGTAAAGTATATATGGTTGTTCTTGATACTTGAAAGTAAATTAATATTTAAAAAGAAAAAGAATGAAAAAATATTTCATCAAGTTTGATATTTCAGAAGCTTAAAAGTGAAAATAAAAATATATATTGTAACATCAATTGATTAAAAGAAAATAGATATGAAGACCAGATGATTCATTAATATTCTTATAAATAAATATCACTTTTTTTAGTAAATAATATTTTAATTTATATTATATTTAAATATAGAGTAATAGAAAATAAAAGTCTTTGTGAATAATATAAAAATTTTTAAACTTATTTTTTTAATAAAATTTATTAATAAAATTTTTTATTATTTTATTTTGTTTGAAACTTAAAAAATTATATTGATATTTAATTTTAATTAAAATAAATAATTTAAAAAATTTTCTAGTAATCTTTTAATTATATATAGAAGAGTTATTTGCTAAAAAGCCTTTTAAAATTTTAAATAATAAAGCTTAAACACTTTCTTTAAAACTATTTAAAAAATATCTTTAAGAATTGTTTTTATCTTTTTTTTCTTGATTATAAATTATTTTTATTAAAAACTTAATTCCTAGTAGTTAAAAAAATTAAATAAATCTTTATTACTAATAATAAAAAAGTTAATAAAAATTTTTTTTAATTATAAAATATCTAAAAAACTTTTTCCATCTTTAAAATAAATTATTATAAAGGTTATCAATTTTATTAATTTTTTAAAACTTTTACTTTTATAATCTTTTAAAATTTTTTTATTTAAATTTGATTTTAAATTTTTATTGATATAATTATATATTTTAATAATATTATTAATTATAGTAAAAACTTTTATTAAAAAATTTCTTTCTAATTAAATAATTTTAAAAAATAATATTAAAGTTAAATAAAATATATAATAAATTTCTAAAGTAATTTATAGTTTTAATAATTAATAAATAAATTCTTAAATAGTTCAAAGTTAAAAAAATATTATAATTAAATAAATTTCTTGTTACTAAAAATTTTTTTAAAAATATGAAATAGTTTGTTTATTAATATTAAAGCAATATATAAAATAAGTAATAGTAAAATATTATTATCTATAATTGAATTATCTTATTAAATAATTGAAATGAAATAATTTATAACTATAAGTATTACCTATATTTGTTCTTTATCAGATCAGATTAATAAATAGATATTTTGCAATTATCAATATCTTATTAATATTTTAATAAGGTAAAGAAAAATAAAACTAATTTTATAATTAATTGAAATAAAAATTGAATTGATATCAAATATCTCAATAATCTTATTGATCATAAAAAGTTAACACAAGTTAAAAAGATTTAAAATTTTGAAAAAAGTAAATGCTATATTAGTTTTTTTTTTTTTTTTTTTTTTAACTCACTGTCAGGTTGGTTATGTGTGCTTTATTAAACATAATGTAGGCTATACTATTTACAGTGTCGCTAAAGCTAGAACGCTAACTAACTCA